AAGATCTCTTGCTCTTGGATAGGTAGGATCAACATAATAAAAATGACAATCTTACCAAAAGCAATCTGCAGATTCAATGCAATGCCCATCAAAATCCCAAGGTAATTCTTCACACACTTTGAAAGAACAATGTTCAACTTCATATTGGAAAATGAAAAACCCAGGCTAGTCAAAACAACCCTGTACAATCTGGGTGCATCACCATCCCTGACCTCAAGCTCTACTATAGAGATGTAATGAGAACAGCTTGGTATTGGCATAAAAACAGATAGGTAGACCAATGGAATCGCAAATAGATCCATATCTATTGCCATGCATAAAACCCAAGTCTAATTGGATCAAAGACATCAACATAAATTTAGCCACACTGAAGTGGGAAGTACCCTTGAATGAATTGTGTACAGGCGACCCCTTCCTGAACCTTACACCAGTAGCACAGACACTGAGATTGACAACTAATAAATGGGACCTCCTGAAACTGAGAAGCTTCTGTAAGGCAAAGGACACAGTCAGCAAGACATAACGCAGCCTGCAGAATAGGGAAAGATCTTCACCAACCCCACATCTGACAGAGGGCTGATCTCCAAAATATATAAAGAACTCAAGGATCTAAACATCAAAATACTAAATAATCTAATTTTTAAATCTAAATAGAGAATTCTCAACAAAAGAATTTCAAATGGCAGAAATACACTTAAAGAATTGCTCAATACCCTCAGTCATCAGGGAAATGCAAATCAAAGTGACTTGATATAGCATCTTATACCAGTCAGAATGGCTAAGATCAAAAACACTGATGACAACTTATACTTCAGAGGATGTGGAGTAAGGGGAACACTTCTCCACTGATGGTGGGAGTGTAAGCTTGTATAAATACTTTGGAAATCAGCAATACCATTTTTAGGCATATACCCAAAGGATGCTTAATCATACCACAAGGACACTTTATAATGTATGTTCATGACAGAATTATTTGTAATATCCAGAACCTGGAAACAACCTAGATGTCCCTCAATGAAAGAATGGATAAGGAAAATGTGGTACATTTACACAATGGAATACTACTCAGCTGTAAAAATGATGATCTATTGAAATTTGCAGGCAAATGAATGAAACTAGAAAAAACCATCCTGAGTGAGGTAACCCCAGATCCAGATAGACAAACATGGTGTGTACTCACTCATAGGTAGATATTAGGAATAAAGGATAGGATACCAACCTACAATCCACAGCCCCAGAAAGACTAGATAACAAGGAGGGCCCAAAGAGGGTACATGGATTTTCCTGGGAAGGGGAAGGAGAAAAGATCTCCTGGGTAAACTGGAGGCGGGGATTGGTGTGATGGAGGGATGGGAACTAGAAGGAGCAGGTTGGGTAGGCTGTGGGAGTTGGGTTGGAAGCAGAATAGAGGGGGAGAATAACAAATGAGACATTGATAGGGGGTCATTTCGGGGTTGGGGAGAAATCTAGTACTACAGACCCCCCCCCAAGAACTCACAAGGATGACCCCAACTAAGACTCCTAGCAATGGCGGAGAGGAAGCAGAGACAGAGATCCATAGACAGGCACTGTGCTGAGCTCTTAGAGTCTTGAAGAAGAAAGGAAGGAGGGATTGTACCAGCCAGGGGGGTCATGATGGGGGAACCCACAGAGACAGCTGACCTGAGCTCGTGGGAACTCATGGATACTGGACCAACAGGGAGCCTGTATGGGACTGACTTGGGTGCTCTGATGTATATGACAGTCGTGTGGCCTGGTCTCTTAGTAAAGCTTCTAACAGTAAGAGCAGGATCTCTCCCTAAAGCTTAGCTTAGCTGACTTTTGGTAACCATGCTGGATTACCTGGCTCCACCTCAGTGTAAGGTGAGGAGCTTGATCCTGCCTCGACTTGATGTGCCATGCTTTGTGCAAGCCATGGGAGGCCTGTCCCTTTCTGAATGGAGTTGGAGAAGTGGATGGGGGAAGAGGGTAGATGCGAAAGGGGAGGGGATGGGAGGAGAGCAGGGAGGGAAAACTGGTTGGTATATAAAATAAATGAAAAAATGTTATTTAAATAAAAAATAAAATAAAATTGGACAGAAGTGAGGAAACATCCATTGAGATTGGCTAACTCTCGGGCTGTCATGGGCTGTCAACGGAGGGCCCACATGCTCTATGCCTGTCCCCCTGACCAAACTGGGGAGATGATCATGCAGTGTTCTGTATGGCTCACACAGTTGGGTGTAGTTGAAGTCCCCCTTTGTCCATCGCTGACTCAGCTCTGATACTGAACATTTGCTAACTTAGTCATTTGTCACTGTTACTGCTCTTCAATATTGTGGGCTCTCCGGTGCTATTAATTGTACTAAGATCTCGTTGTTGCCACATTTGCACGATCAGCTTTCAGCTTTACTATGGCAGAGTCACTCTATCCCAGCCACCATGAAGAAGCTACAGTCTCTTGTCTACTCTGTATTTATAGAGTAGTCTGAGGTGATCTGCTAGGTTGAACCTTCCTGTTAGAAGTCACCTCACAATTTAATCTATCACAGTTAGCTGCATTAGAAATAAGAATATGTGGATGACAATAGTGCCTGTCCCTTTCTGCATGGAGATGAAGGAAGAGTGGATGGGGAGGGGAGGAAATGGGAGGATAGGAGGGAGGGGAAACTGGCTGGTTTGTAAAATAAATGGAAAAAAAAAGAGAAGCAGATTAATGGCTCTGAAGAGATGGTCCACCAGTTAAGAGCACTCACTTGTCTCACAGAGGACCCAAGTTTAGTTCACAGCACCCACATCTGCCAGCCCATGCTGCCTGTAACTCCAGCTCCAGAGGGTCTGATGCCCTCTTCTGGCCTCCAGGATCATATTTCCTATGTGTAAAGAATCATTATCGATAACCATTTTAAGCAGGATTCTCCCAAGATGATTCCATCTTCCTCCAGAGAGAATAACTGCTATATCTAGCAGACAGTGTATTTAATATGGCACAGGGTTCTGTGTGTAACCCTGGCTGTCCTGAAACTCACTCTGTAGTCCAGGCTGGACTCAAATCACACAGATCTACCTGCCTCTGCCTCCTGAGTACTGAGATTAAAGGTGGGCACCACCACCACCACCACCACTTGGTGATCTTTGGACTGTTTTGTTGTTGTTGTTGTTGTTTTTCGAGACAGGGTTTCTCTGTGTAGTGTTGGAGCCTGTCTTGGAACTCCCTTGGTAGACCAGGCTGGTCTCGAACTCACAGAGATGCCCCTGCCTCTGCCTCCCAAGTGCTGGGATTAAAGGTGTGAGCTACCAACGCCCGGCTTATTTTTATACAATATACTTTGATCATAATTTCCTCTCCTCTAAGTCCTCCCAGATCCTCTTCGCCTCTCTCTTGTTCCCTCTTAGCACTCCCAACAAGAAAAACTAAAACCCAAAAGACAAAAGCACCAAGCCATAGCAACAACAACAACAAAAAGCAAAGGTGAAACATGGAGCCTGTTTTGTGTTTATCAACTATTCCTGAGCTTGGGACCTGCCCAGGAGTTCGGTTGATATGCCCAGTTCACTCTGATGGATAAAATGAGATTTTTCTTTTCCATGTATCAGTTGCAAATAGCCTCTTAGTTAGGGGTGGAA